ACTCAGCAGGCAGAGGGGCTTGGGAGCTTAGGGGGTTGCAAGATGCTGAATCCAAAGCCTGCCAGAGAAACGGCCGAGTGCACTGCCCTCTCCAACTGCTAGGCGTCTTCTCTCAAGAGTCTCGTTCTTTTGTCTCTTGCAGCCGTTGCTCCGTCCAAGTCATTGCCTAGGTTCATGAAAGCTAACCTTGCTCATACCAAGTTCCAGGGCTTCAGACCCAAGGACGGTGCAGCCACGGAGCCAAGGGGGGCTTGACGTTTAGGTTCTGTGGTTTGATTGGCTCAACCAGAAAACTTGTTTGCGGTGAGCCAAGAGAGCTAGCTTGGGAAGGGCAGACCTTCTATGGAACTCTTGGAGCTGATCTAGGGGGCCGTAATTGACTCACCTTCTATTGAACTCTTGGAGCTGATCTAGGGGGCCGTAATTGACTCATGATGACTGGGCTGGGCGCAGATTACAACTTACTTCGCTCTCCCAGATATCACGTATTCTACTCTCCCAGAATTGTGAATTGACCCTAAACCCTAAACCTGAATTGCTCAAACAAAAGAATTTCAGGATGCTGCTTGCCCGGTGTGGGTCAGCAAATGCTTGTGAGAACTTGCTACGCTACCCATCTGATGTGCAGCTACAAGCATCCTGACTCTCACCTGTGCATGGTTTAGGGGCTGCTGAAGATTTCTATAAAGGTAGAAGCCTCAAAACCGAAGTCTGTGTATGATGTGGGGTTTAGGTTTAGGACCAGCAGGTGCAGATGCACTGCGCTTTGTTTCCACATGCTTTGCAGCACTCATGTTGCATACTTGAAGCCCACCCTCCCTTTCAACAGCACTATTCTTCTGAATTCTGGGAGCTCTAAGCAAACTGAAACCCACCAAGACCCATCGTTTTGAGGAAGCGATCGCGGTCTTGCAATAGGACTATCCAAGGTGTGGAGAAAAAACTTGCAAATAGCTAGAAGGTATAGGAGCTTCATGTCGGGCTTAAACATGACGAATGCCTGCTCCGGGCGCTCGGGTATGACAACAAAGGATTTTTTGAAGCCGCACCACGTCCTCTCAGTTGGGTAAATGCTACCAATAGAAGGACTACAGCCCCAAAGCAAGCACGTAGACCTGAAGCAGCAAAACCACCAAAAACGACCGAAACCCATCCGGAAACCTCATCAGCTCCAGACCCTAAACCCTGAGTCAGATCGGATTTCAAGAGGTCAAGGCCAGGATGCCAGGCTTGAGCTGCTCATAGCCCCGATGTTCATGCTCTGCTTTTTTGGTCTTAAGGGCCCGGGGTCACTTTCAAGGGCAAACAAGGCAAGAACAAGTCCTGAGGCCTAGGCGTACATCAGCAGTTCTCCTTCACAACCTTATCGCCCTTGAGAGCGATCAAAGCGCCGTCTACGCTCGTGCTGACAAGGTCTAGGCCTTGAAGCTGCTGCATGACTGGGGACAGGTCCTTTAAGCTGCCTTGGATCTCCTCGCTGTAGAGGCACAGCACTTGGAGTTTATCCATCTCTGACAAGCTTTCCACGGTACCGTCGATATAGCGACTGTGCAGCGACAGCTTTCTCATGTATCGCATCCCCTGCAATGCCGACAGGTTGCCATCGATGTGGGGGCTGTGGAGGATCAGGCGCTTCATCGGCCTCAGGACCAGCAGGTCCTTCAGGCTGCCACTGATCTTGGTGCTGTGGAGGCTCAAGGCGCCCAAGTTCTTCATGTGCTGCAGGTCCCTTAGAGTACCAGTGACCTTGATGCTGTGGAGGCTCAGGTCTCCTCGAGCGGCTGCAGGTCTAGCAGGCTGCCACGGACCTTGGTGCTGCGGAGGCTCAATTCGCCCAAGTTCTTCATGAAACGCAGGTCCGCGAGAGTGCCAGTGACCTTGATGCTGTGAAGGCTCAGGTCTGTTATCTCCTTGAGGGGCTGCAGGTCCTGCAGGCTGCCACTGATCTTAGCGCTGTGGAGGCTCAGGTGCCTCAGGTGCCTCATGCTCTTCATGTGACGCAGGTCCGTCAGAGTACCAGTAATCTCGCTGCTGTGGAGGACAAGTTGCTGTATCTCCTGCCGCAGCTGGTCCCTCGCGTCCTTCAGAGTGCCATTGATCTCGCCACTCTGCGGCTCGCGGTACTGAATTTCATTCAAGTGCTCCAGGTCCTGTAGGCTGCCAACGATCTTGCTGCTATGGAGGGTGAGGTATTCTATTTTCAACGGCTGCAGGTCTGCCAGGGTGCCCGTGATCTCGTTGCTCTCAAGCCACAAGCGCCACATCCTCTTGAGCGGCTGCAGGTCCTGCAGGCTGCCTCTGAGATTCGCACTCCTCAGCAGCAAGCTTTTCAACTCGGGAAGCAAGGCCAGGCCGTCGATATTACCATCCAAGTAACCGTCCAAGACATGCCCTCCCAGTCGCAATGGTTCTTCTTCTTTGCGTTCGTCTCGAAGTATTCATGGCCAACCCCCAGTCGTTGCAGGGCTCGCCGGAGCAGCTGCTCCCTCTCTTTGCCTTGGGGTAGTCTAGCTGAACGGAAACAGCGCTGATAAAAGTCATCTTTTCTAGTCGCTCTTCACACATGTACATGTGATGGACGGAGAAAGCAAAAGTACATGCAGTACATCGTCGGTGCCTGTTTTGAATGCCTGGTCCCGCAGGTGCAACGCAAGTCCCCGTCCCTGCCCAAGTTGAAAGCTCGTGACGCCAAACCGCTCGGTATTGCGACCAAGTACTTTCAGGGTCGGGGGGACGTAGTAAGTAGCTTAACAAGAGGATACCTAGGATTATTATATGGGCAATAGGGATTATTCATAGTAACCTAGTTGCTAAGTCCCCCTGACCCTCCAGGTAAGACCTGCTCTTCTTCCGACCTAATCTTACTGAATGCAATGCTCCCTTCAGCAGCCTAGCTTGCTCTGAGCTTAGCATGAATCCTACAGAACCCTGTAGAATATGGGTTACCGAGTATACTCAGTTTTGCGCGTATATAGAAGCTGAGCAATCATGTTGTGCAGGTAGTGTGGTCTTCCTTCACGGGTATGGACTTTTCCCGCCAGAACTACGAGTGAAATTAAATTACAAGAATTGGGGCCTGTAAGGCTGAAACCAAGCTGCAATCCGGTGCATCGTCCTTTTCTGCATCGCCGTTTTCCAAATCAACCTTTCGTGCATCGCCTCTTCCCCACCACCTGGAGCTCGCCTCCAGCTCCTGACAGCAGGTGTGAAGCTACTTGTACATAAGCCGAAGTCACGACAGTGATGTCAGCCCAAGTGACCAAGACAAGAAGAGGCTGAAGTTGTAGGAGAACTTATGAAAGGCTTCAGCTGCTTTATAGCCGGAACCCTAACGGGCTTAACCCGCAAGATTCGAAGCAAACAACGTATACATGGCAAGAGATTGCTCTAATATCCAGGCCGAGCTGCTACCAGATCCCCTTCTTGCTCCCGTTCCGAAGTAACCAGTAGCAAGGCCAGGAAGGCCGCCCAAAGCCGCAGTGCCATCATTGCGTTTGGCTTTGCGATTAGAGATTAAGGTCTACATGCTGTTAAGGGGTTCAGTGCTGCCCATGCCGCAAATCAAACGGCAAAACAAGACTGATAACAGATATGTATCCAGGTGGCTGCATGGAGGAAACATTTATCTGATGGCCTTTCAGAATGCCAGCAATAGAGAGACGTATTGCGCATGGATATCCTCTTTCAGGGAAACTGGCATTCCCTGCTGCGACATACAGCTAAGGCAGGGTGTCTCAGCTGCTCTTGGCATACTTCGCCATCTGGTTATGTGCTTGTTTAAAACGAAGTAAAACGAAGGGGTTCGAGTACGATTGCAAGAAATAGTATGAGTACTTGGAGCGATACAGCTATACCATATGAATGAATAAACCATATGAATAACCACCTTGAACAATATAAGTGCTGAGGAGAAAGCAGAGAAGCTGCTGAAATCTGCTGGTAATGCCCGTTCCAGCTCCAGTGCCTCCTCCTCCTCCTCCTGCTGCTGCCGCTGCTGCTGCCGCTTCTGCTAATGACGCCGACGCCGCCGCGGTTGCTCTCTGCTTTGGTAAGCGCGTATCTTGCAGCATGAGCAGCATGGCAAACTAACAAGGCCACTTTTCTAGCCTGAAAGATACAAGTCCGTTAGGATAGCAGGGAAGCAGTTTGCTTAAGCTACTGTTTACACATGAGGATAATGGGTACCCTTACTTGAAGGATGGGGATAAGAGGGATCTTAAATTCAAGGAACCCAGATCGACCGTCCAATAGATACTCTACAAACGACGTACACTCCCCCCTAATATTGCACACATAGATAGTGGAATTACTTTGGGGATACCCCTCAAACCTAAATACCAGAGTAGGTTCAACTTTCTTGTCCATTCCCCCATGTAGCCCTAACTTCCATTTCATTGCCTGGTTGACGTTCCATTCTACTCTCCATTGTTCCGCTTAACTCCATATGTTCTTAGATATAGCACTTCAAAGGTAAGTGGGGCTTAGTAAGTAGGTTAATACGGGCGACAACTAGGGTGAACTCATGAGCGATAGGGGCTTTTGAAGCACCTACCATGCCCTCCCTGACCCTAAACCCTAAACTCTAAACGCTAAGTATTCTACTGGTTGCCATTTTTTGCATTACTAAGTCCTTCCGACCCTCCAACCCTAAATCCTGAACCCCTGAACCCCGAACCCTAAACCCTGAAACCTAAACCCATAAAACCCCTGAACCCTAAAACACCTCAAACCCTAAAACCCTAAGGATCTCCAGCAGCCTGTGGCTCGAAGCTCTCGAATGCGGACCTTGCTTTTTTTCTCGGAGCGATGGCTGAGACCGGAAAGAAACCACCCAAGCGCCAAAGAACAAATGAGCTATGGTCTAGACTCCTAGTATCCCCCCTTAACAACCCCTATAAGGAGTCCCCCATATAATCCCCCCCTATAGCCCCCTTGAAGAAGTTCAGACTATAGCTCAAATGATATTCTTAAACCCTAAACCCTAAACCATATTCACATCATCATGGCAAAGTCTCCGGCAGAGTTGACACGTCCATTGAAAACACTTCAGAGCTCGGTGTTTGCAAGCAGATCTTCTGCTGGGCTGGCCAAGCTGCAATGCTTGCACTGACACCTTCCACGCGGATTCCCTTTACCTGGGACTCCGTCCTGTTGGGCTCCAGAACCCCAATCAAATCCCCCAGGCCATCCTTGGGAGTGACGTAGATCCGGTCACTCAAAACAGCAAAGCCACCCCAAGTGACAGCTTCGGCCAAATGGGATGTATCTAAAGAACGGCATTTCTGCATGCCAGTGTCTACTACTAGGATTCTGCTAGCACCTTCTTGTGCGGCATACAAATGGTTGCGGAAGCCCACCAATGCCTGGATACCTTTGACCTGTGTGCCGCAGGCGGCCTCATCAAGATTCAGGCCTCGAGTCCCCTGTGCTTTGGAAAGGCCCACACGAGCCAGAACGTAGTTTTTTGGCCCCTCGGTTTCAGGCAATCTTCCTGTAGCGCCCAGGAAAATTGCCTGCTCAAATCTGCAGCCTACCTCCACCTCCATTGTAACAGAAGTCGCACCTATGCACAACCGGGGTTTAACTTGGGCTGCCCGCTCTTCACTCTCAGAGATCTCTGACACTTTGAGAAAGTGGATACAGAACTTAGAGGCAGTGCTGGTCAGGAACCAGAGATGCTCATCATCCCATAGGATGCTTGTTCTCACCTTTGGCTCCTCACTGAAGCCTTGCAAAGATACGTCAGAGGTGTCTAGAATCCCCTCGCGCGGGGTGATGATGAGAATGCTTCGTAAGTCTTCATCCACTGCGAAGGCCCTGTCATTCCCAGGCAATAGATACTTCCAAGCAATCTTCGACATGTCCGGTTTTGCCTCGCAATTCTCTGTGTCGGAACACGACTCCTTGATGTATATCTCAGTCACATCAGGTTCGCTGGAAGTATCTCCTGGGTCATTGTTAGGAGAAGTCGAAAATCATAGTCCTTTGTTGTGTTTCTAATTTCATAAAAGATCAAACTTTCATTTCAACCATGCCGCCGTTTCCTGGCCGTATATCCAGCAGGCGCAAGCCGTCGTTGTTCGTATCCATCCCGATGAGGCGGCTGCCCACAGAGTCCAACTCCACAGTGCTCTGCCTACCCTGTGCCAATCCTCAGTCCCTACGGGCAATGAGGGTTTAGGGTTTATAGGGTCTAGGAGTCTAGGAATCTAGGACGACTCAAGACAAGAAGTGCCCATGTACTTTGCAGGACCTAGAATCTCTCGGTTGGTGGTTGGCAGACTTTGCCAGTGACGTTGAACTCTATGCTTTGCCGAAAGCGCCAGCCTGACTCCCTTTCACACACGGGAAATTCACAGAAACAGACTCTGAAGCTATGATGGACCTTCTTGTTCGCCAGGGGGAACTTCAAAAAGGCGACGGTGCGGTCGTCGCTGGTCTCCATAGGCGTGAGGATGTCAATGTCTGACGGAACGCCGCCATCGAAGTATTTCTTGCAGTGATACTTGCTGGGCACAATGAATGCACCATCCTGACTTGCTACTGAAAGGGAATGGAGTGATTCATACCTGGAACCCCCTAATTGTTGTTCGGCCCTACAGCCATTCCTGGCTAGCAAAAGAAGCTTTCCACGGTAGGAAAAGATGTAATGAAGGACGTGTCACATCACACTATGATTGTTTCCAAATTACAATGATTCCCATTTTCACTTTCTGTTCTCTTGACAACCTCACCTAAGCCCCATCCCTCCGCCAAAAAGCATAATACATAATGCCAAAATGTAATAACCCGATCTTATATCATAGTGCTACATAGTCATGCTACAATGGGAAACCACCTTCATGATTCATTATTAGGGGGTTGGGGAAGGTGTGTCAGTAGGCGAACGGGGGTAACAACAGGCAAGTTCCTCTGGCATAAACTTTTCACCCTGGAGCTTGACGGTCACCACTGGCACAAACTCATAGAAGTCACCCGAGAGAGCCTGGCTTGCTGTAGGAAACCAAGCTGTGACCATAAGGATTTGGGCTTTAATCCGAGGGTCAGATCAATAAAAGGGACCACATTTAACGGATTTTTTTGAAAAAAAATCCAGGAACCCCAATCATTCTTTTAATATGGCGACCTCCATTTCTTATTCTGGGGGGGGGGGGGTGGGGCGGGCCCCCACCCAAATTAATCAGACCCTAGGATTAGGTTTTTTAACGATTAAGTGTTAGAGGATTCAGGGCTAATCTAGGGTTTAGTCAGTTTAGTCTCTGGAAATAAATAGTAGGGAAATCACCTAGCACCGAAACTTTCTTGCAGGTCATTAACAGCAATCCAGGAGCCCATTGTCCACATGCGACCTTCTGGGCAGAGGCCTCGTGCAGCTGGCCAGGACCGAAGCGGGCCGCAGGGTCCTCAAAAATTTGCCCATGCTATGGTTCTGGATTCCTTGTATACTCATGGTATATAGGGCATCTCAAGCAGACCTGAGCATAGCAGTTGTAGTTGTTTAGGCCCTGTAACTTGGGGCGCTGTTTGTCATGCATGTATAGGGCTTATACAAGGGTAACAACAAAAAAAATATTTTCTAGCCCTGCAGTAAGGTCCTCAAAAAAGAGGCCTTCGGCTTCGGGCTTCTTGTCCCTCAGCGCCTTCTTTCGATGCTCGTCCGCGTCCTGGCAAGCATAGAACAGTTCACTGCAAGGACCTGGTCAGAAAATCACTCCTTTTTCTTATAGCCTGATATGGGTGGTTGTCAAAAATATGGTCCCTTTTGGCATCCCTATCATAATACGGCACCTAATATTTCGAGTACCCAACAAGGGACCATAATAATTTTGACAACCACCCATATCAGTTACATGTCTCCAACATATCAAAGGCTGCGAAACAGAACCTCTGCAGGATGCTCTGCCTTTGAGTGCAGTGGTCCTTGACCAAGCGTTTGAGATCAGAAAGTCCCGCTGGATGCGAGAGGGGGACAAGGAGGTCCACATACCTTGGCGTCTCTGTTGTTGATGCTTTAGTGTGCCCTAAGCTGCTGGGATCAAATCATACCAGCCTCTTCTGTTATTCCTCGCTGCATTACGAATGATGCTCACTAAAAAATAAGAATGACGATGACAAGAATAGCAACGATATATATGATATGATAATTACGGCTGCAACTTGGTGACCTCAAACTTCAGTCGAAACCTGCACCTTGCTTAGGAGGACATCCAGCACCCTGAGCTCAAACTACACCCTGTTGCCCTAGGCACTTTACTACAGTAATAGTTCAGCTACCAGCTACCACAACGCCCAAAACAAGGATCCTATGCTATCATTGTGTGTCTTGTAAGGTCCTCAATGTAAGGGTTGGGGTCACCAAAGCCCTCTTATCATTTACAGCAGTATACACTCCAAACTATGTCCTAAGCCTGGACACCCCAACTCCAATGTGGCACCCTAAACCCTGAACTCTACGGGCTAGACCCTTAGCTCTGAACCGATGGGCCAGAGTCTGCCCCAACAGTATAACCTCCATTGTTGTCTGAACCCTGAAATGCGCATCCCGACTTAATTCCACGCCCTCTGAAATACCACACACTAGTTTCCCTGATTTATCCTGCCCTGCACTGAAAGCCCTAAACTACAAGCTCGAAATGTAAACGTCAAGACCTACAGTCCCCCTTAAGTAGATAGAATATGGCTTTAGGTATACTATAATTGTGCCCTAGGGTCTGAATCCTAGTTCGGCCTTGGCACGGCGCGGACAGAGGCATCTTTTCTGGCAGGTTGGCTTCCTCCAGACTCCTGGAGTCATGGTGGAACCAAGATGCATCTACGGGGCTGTATATGGTATGCGCGGATGACATCGGACTAAGGTTTCCGGGCTTCCGGCGCTAGGGTGGGCTAGAATTATTGGTTTCTTGGCAGTAATCCAAGGAGACGATAATGCGAACATGCATACTCGGAAGTTTCGGGTGTGGACTGCAAGCAGGCAACAGACTGTGCTTGCAGCGAAACTGTGAGCAAATTGGAGGTCCTAGATGTCAAGCCATTATGCAGGATTTAGATGCAGTGCAAGTGTGAGACCTCGCGTATGTCCCGTGCATTGGTTTTCTGGGTTTAGTTGCCGCTTAGGGGCTGTTTGGTTTGGGCCCTTGTTAATTCAGTTGGGAATTACGCCTGATCCCGGAGTCTTGGGTCCGAGAAGTCACCCCCGCGAAGCAAACGGGGCCAGTCCTGGTGAATGACTTATCCAACATTTGACCGGTGCGCGTTGTATGTGAAATTGAACCTATCTTTGACTTCGTCTTTTTGTTTCGATGCAGGCGGAAACTTGTGCAACATGTAACGGGCCAACAGCACGGAGGCCATATGATGTTTTGCTAGGGACATTGGCTATATAGTCGTTGCTGCTCAGTTTCGACTGGGCACTAAATCCTTAACGGGGTTTTGATCTGACCTGGCGTTCGGCCTGCCTACTGCGCCTGAGGCAGGCGGGTTCAAGGACGTGACTAGTTACTGCAGGATGCCGCTTTCTCATCAGACCAATTTTGCGTTTCCTACACTTGGTAGGCCCTGTTAAGCAACTATTGGACTTTGCTTGGCCAAGGGAAGAGCGCTAACCTTCGCTTGTTTAATTTGGTTGCTAAAGGGCTGGCTGATCTTGTTGGCTGCTCTTCTGGGGTGGTTTTAGGATACACAACCCAGGACATGACTATTGCCCTTCAGGGTTGCTGCGCGTACTATCAGGCTGACCAAGCTGTGCGGGCCTTGCCTCATATCTTGCAGCAAGTGGGCCGGCACTACTATAACCACTCTGACCACTTCCCCCAGGCCCGAAGTTCCAGCGAACATTTCTGAGAAACTTGTGGCACTGGAATCCGTAGTTAACATCAACATATCAACAATGCAGTTTGTGGATGACGTGTCCTGCACAGCACGGCATTTGGAATCAATGAAGCCTGAAGAGCCGACCATGATGTTTGTAAATTCTGGCGGCACAGGTTTGCTGAAGGGAATAAAGGTAAGAGCCAGAGCGTGCTCTGTGTTGAGGCGCCGTGGAGTGCATTCCTTGTCCGTTCCTTCAGGGCTCCGTGCCGTCCATGTTGGTAGTCTTAGTAGACAGCCATCTCTCCTGCGAACTGTTGCTGCAAAGCTGCGTTGCTAAATACACAAATCAGGCAAAACTGCTCTGCACACAGCTGCGGGATAACTTTTTGAAACTACCTTTCCTAGTTCAAGAGTTGCTAAGGCTAAGGAGACTGGAGCCCAGTGCCGTTTTTGCAATAGCAGCAGTGGCAGTCATAGACAGGGTTGGGTTGCTACTGCCAAGCGTCTCGCTAAGACTCAATTTGGCTCTCAAAGACCTCTTGGGAATGTCAAGGGTCTCCCTTGGAGTGGGTGGCCGCAGCAGACTGATGCACGAATTGGCAGTAACGGAAAAGCTAAGCACGCAGGTGGTACTGACGGTGGCCATGGGGCGTGGTAGGGCTGTTTGCACCACGCCAGTATGAAGCCTGGAAACCCTTTTCAGCCGCTTCGTCGCTTAAAGGCCCTCAGTGGTTAGATGCAATTAAGCTTTTGTCCGATTTTATGGCTTGTGAGCGCGCGCTGTCTACTCTCCGGGCTGCAGGCCCGGAAGCGCCGAAGCAGGTTGCATGTTGCTAGAAGGTTCATGTCGTCAGGCCCGAAGGCTCGAGCCGGAGTGGCTCCAGGAACAAGCCAAATCCTGGTCCGTTGCGCGCTGTAGGCCTTGTCGCCCGAACCCTAGTGTGCCATACCTGGTCGCGGCAATTCCGGGCCAAGCTGTGTGGAGCAGGAGCCAGTGTCGTTACTGCCGTATGTGGATGCTGGCACGCCTCACGAATGTTTTTCCCTTTGTTATCCTGGCAGCAGCTGACACACCGAGGCAATTTGATGACTACCCTCTATGCAGACAAGCACCTCGGGGCTTAAACCATGTTCTCTGCGCTTGTGGCATAGCTAGCCCCTTGGAAAGGAAGTGCGAAACGCTCGTAGCAACACACCCAGACCCAGACAGCTGCTATCAAAGATCGCTTTCCTTGGCCGCATGGTATCTGCAACGTGGGATCAGCTAGGCAGGAGCAAAATCAAGCAAGTGGCTGGGCCCAGTCGGGTTTGGCAGGCGTGCTCAGAGGTACCATCACCCTTCACGCTGCAAACGTTGGGCTGTTGTGACGGGCTTCAGTATCGGGGGTTTGGGTTTGGTCTGTGCGTTGGTTGGGTGAGCTCTGCGGCTTGTGGTTGGTTGTTGTTGGTGCTCGCTTTGTGGTGAGGTGGTAGGCTGGAAACTCGCGGATGGGCTCTGTGTTGGTTGCTGGTCAACCTGCATCTGGGTAACAGTGAGGAGTAGCAGATATACCGCCCTTCACTTCGCGGCTTCTTTGCACCAAGTAAACCCATCTCCGCGTGTTTGCCCTGAGACTCCGCGGAAGAGTCGCTCTCACACGAGATGTGTATGGCCGTGTTGGGGCCAGCAAGCCACTGTCCTCCTAACAACAGGGCTTGTTGATGATCAAGCATTGACGCATGGGGTTCCTGATCCCAGGCAGCCCAGTGAATGCCTGGGAGGGCAGAGCATGCTAAGACTTAAGGGGTTCCAAGCTTCGTACAATTCTCGCACAGGAATATGAAAAGTACGAACACCAACCAATCCTTTAAAAATCTAGATTTCAAGTTGAAATTTTGGTGTTTCAGGTCTACATCAGATCTTCTTGAAGGTGCGGCGCTGGGAACTCAAAGGGATGGTGCTGATGGTGCTCCGCCTGCAAGACCACAGAAGGCAGCATTTCCTGCATGGCAACCTCTCACACTTAGCAACCTCTAAAAGCAAACCTTCCGAATTAGTGCATACCTGTATACCATGAGACAAGCGAGGACCAAGCGATCATCAACCAACAGAATTCAGGCCTAAGCCACTTCAGGCTTTCCCCACGACACCAAGGAACCAAAGCAAGGAGTATCCCACAGAAAGATGGGTCATCGGACTCCATGCGACACCAGCCAGTGGGGCTTTTAACACGCTTACTGTATACCGCTATAAGGCTCCCCAGGTTTCCCCGAATGTTTGACCTTTCTGTTTGGTGTCGGCATTCCTTGAGCAACGCCACAACGAACCTCTAAACCCTAAACCCTCATCCATGTTTTGCAGGCTTCCCCAGCCTACAGTGTTCCGCGTTGTAAGCTCTGCTCATGTCTGTAAGACAGTGATCCTGCATTTTTTCAACCTGTGGGGTAGCAATAGTGTATCTAACTGGACCCTATAGTTCCTAGGCATTCCTAGATTTTCCCGTGGAATCCTCAGGCAATCCTTGAAAGACAGTCCCACATATTTCTGTCCTTGGATTGATGTCGAAGCCGTACACTACCAGGTGGTTCACCTCCAAAAGCAAACGAACCCTAGACTTTGATTTTAAGTGACATTGTGACATGAGTCCTGAACCCTTGACCCTAACCCGTGTAGTGCTTTGGGCAGAGGAAACCCACATCTTTCAAGAGTAGATGCAAGCTAAGATCTAAATACCAGGAAACAAGGAATATCCCTACATCTTATAAGCAGATTTTCATGTGCGAAGTTGCCAGGAGTGTATCTTTACACAAGGCTTGTATAAGAAGGGTAAGGGTTGATACGGAGGCCCAACTGAAAATTCCTTAGAACAGCTTCTGTAGTCGGTCTGCGTCTACTGCATGCGGATGCTCGACTTCAGTATTGATGGTTGCAAGCAAAGCTGGAAGGGATGGTGCCCGTTGCGCCCCAGGCCCTGTCTTCCTGCTTCACAGCATTTCGGGAATGGCAAAGAAAATGGCAACATCCATAGTGCTTGGGGTTTGGGATTTTGCTTTCATCCGTGGTAATCAATACAGCGCTGGGGGAAACCAACTCTTGCACTTCAGATTATGCAACGAGCATTGTGGACGACACCGCACCAAGAGCAACCTCTGCTCGTGGACTAGTAAATTGTTTGCATCACGTAGACTCTCAAGGGAGAGTGCTAAGGTACTCATAGACGAAGCAAGTGCACCGGACATCCCGAAGCCCCTTTTAAGGGTTCGGGATTTGGAGCACACATGATAACCATGAAGTGAATTCGCTTCTGCTTCATGGTTGTGAGTAGGAGAGGAGGAAAGGATCCCCAGAATAGCCCCTGCAAAGCCCGATGAGGCACGAAGTGGTTTCCATGTTCTTCTCTATCCCTCATTCCCTACTGTAAAGCCAATAAGTCTGTGTACCTCTTCCTGGATTCCCTTGCGAAACTCTTCTGGCCACTTGAACTCCTGGCAAAAGGATCAACCGGAACAGACAGAACATGTGGAGATCAGCGGATGGCAAGAAACTCAAAGTATCCGTGCAGGTGGCATGAGCAACCCGCGGAGGCGGAATCTAAAGCTGCTTCCTGGGTCTTTCTGTGTCCATGCTGCAGCACTTTGCTTGTGCCCCAGCAAGATCTGCTTTTGGGGAACCATTCACTTTTTGCCTTCACTCGAGCAGCTTGTTGCGTGGGTCTACAGATGAGGCTTTGCATCAATACCAGCGGTATCGGCAGAGTCTTACGCAATCTTTCTGACCAACGGATGCAGGACTTGCCCGTATTTTGCATGTTACACTCTCTCATGAGGTTCTCCGACGATTTCAGGATGCTTGTGCAGTCTGCTCACACTAACCAAGTAGCATAGCTTCGAAGGGAGTCTCGGCCGGCTGAACGACTTTCACCAGGGGGCATTTTTTGCTTGCTTTTTGTTGAGAATGAGGAAGGAACAGAGCCAATCAAAGGTAAAGAACAAACGGAAGCAACAGAAGCCCCAAAAATGTGTGAAAGCGTAGCTGACTACTTGTGTTCCTTGTCACCACAAGGCCTTTCAAATGTAGGCACTGTTGGCCCTCCGAAACACCTCAAAAATCACGCGCTGCGGACCCCTCATCACAAAGCTACTGCG